TTATTTCTTTACATTTCTCTAAATAGTCGTTGTGCCTCTGTCGAAATGTTGGAATACCTCAACGGACAGTATCGAACGTACGTTACGTTTTAAAATTTCAACAGATTTGGAAGATTATACACAATATCGCTCCCTCTTATCTCGCAAGGCAGATTTAAACTGAGATATCGGATAATTAAATACAGAAGTGGAATGGAAGTTCGGTAGAAAATACTGTTCGCCACCGAGAGCGAGAAGCTCATCAAACGTTAATCTCAAACGGACGATCTTTCTCTCTCTCTCTCTCTCTCTCTCTCTCTCTCTCTCACTCGAAGTGAGAGTAATTTACGCGTTTTATCGCCGGCTTAATTATAATTTTTAATATCAGCTGCAATCGCCTCTCATTGCCCGAACACTTTATCTCGCGCTTCCTCCCTCATCTTTTTTCTTCTCCTTCTTCTTCTTCTTCTTTTTTTTCCTCCTATTTTTGCTTCATCCGCTCGCTCGAAAGCAGCATGGGGCGAAAAGTTTTTATTAGTTTATAAACTCAAGTGTGCGTGAAGCAGCGCCGAGACTCGCTTCTTATAAATACAAATTCGCGATATGCTTGCTGCCGGAGGGAAAGTGAGGAAGACACAGGAAGACACGCGCAGAACACAGAGAAAGATTAAAAAAAAAAAAAAAGAAGAAAAAAAGAAGAAAAGAAGAAGAATGAAGGAATAAAGGTCGATCGTGGCTGAAGTACAATAGGGCGGAGGCGGAGGTACGAGCTTGCGAGTGGATTGGAGTAGGTGAGAATATGCTAAAACCTTGCGTATGATATTGAATTAACCCTCTCTCACCTAAACTCTCGCTGAACTTTTCAACGTGAAAATGAAATTTCACGACACGCGCGCGCGCGCGCGCAGAAACTTGTTACTTATTTGCCCAAACCTTTGCGTTACACGCGAGTACTTGCTTTTCTGCTAAGTTTAATGCACTCGAATTAAGTACGAGAATCTTTGCTTCCCTTTCAGCGTACGCCGATAAGATTCATCCTCGGGTAATTAATTATTGACGTGGGAAGTCAAATTTATTTGCACGTAACTCTACGTATTCACTTCTGACAAGGCATGATTTAATTAAAAATTGTAATTATTGATTTTTTCCATGTTGCGAAATCGTTATATCTGCATCTGACGGAATATATCATACGATGAAATTATATAAATTAAATGTAACGAAATAATTCGTATTTAGTTACTGTAATTTTCACTTTAATTCTTGCAGCTTCGCTGTGCTGGTCATAATGATGAAAAGAGAATAAAAATAACGATAATTTGTGGAAGACAGAAAGATATTATTCAAGGGTAGTAATGACGTCGAATAAATAAATATTCTTATAAAATTAAATTACTCGTGTACCCTAATTCGTATCTTTGTCAAAGGGGATTGATCGTAATTTCTTTCTTCCATTGTGGCTCGCTTTATAAGATTATCCTACAGTTGTAAATTTAAGAGCAGCAGTGTTAATCGAAGATTTCTTTTTGAGAGATTCTCACTGCTTTATCTATCTAATTCACGTAATGCCATTTTCTTTCCCTTTGGCGTTTAATCGAGGAATTTTGTTAATTCAATTTTCGTAGCTTTGTTAGATGGTTCTTAAGAAATATCTATTCCAAGAAACCATCAAAAGTGTCTTTTATGAAGTATAATAAATAAATCGCGGATGTCTATGAAATTTAAAGAAATGGAGGTATTGGAATAAATACTCTCCTAAACCAAATATTGCAATAAATACTCTCGACTGTTTTATTCCAAATATTGCAACAAATACTCTCGACATTTTTGTATATTTCGTGTACATTCTGTTTAAAATTTCCCATAAATACGTAGAAATTCGCAGCCTAATGATAAAATTGATCATTGATCAATCAACATTAATCAAAATTATATCAAAGCACCAACGTTGAATTTCTGTACGTATTATATCACATCTCTTGCATCACATGGAAATCTTCCGTGATAAAATTTAAGCTACGCATATTGTTCTAAAGTTAGCGTGATTTTGCAAACGTTCGAGAATTTTCTCGAAGTTCCGTGACGACGAAGTTAGAACACCGAATTTCGGTCGGTCCGGGGTCAAAGTTTCAGCCATGAATAACTAAATTGAAGAGTACCAAGACGAAAGAGCACACAAATTCTAAATCTCAAAAATGGCGAGTAAGTCACGTCCGTGCTATTAAATGCATCCTTATCGCGCTCTTTAACAGATGATATCCTAGAAATCCGCAAATAAGATTATGGTAATAAAACACACCAAGCTTTAATGTGATAATTTATATACCTCGCGAACGCGACGTACGATACTTTCGCTGCACGGAAATACGAATAGTGCTGCAGCCGTCGCGTGTTTCAATCCAACTAACAACAAGTATTTTGCCAGTGTAAAAAATTCAATATTTGAAAGTTTGAAAGATAGATTTCTGAAAAACTCAGCGTTCCAAAAGTTGCAGAAAAAAGAACGATCAATATAATTGAAAAGAGAAGAAATTACACGTTATCCCTTTAAAAGCGACATCGTTTATACTTTTCAATGTGAAGAGAAAAATCGTAAAATAATGTAATTACAATTTTTAGTTGGAATAAATGTAAGTGGAAAGGAATTCAATTTCATTTCTCTCGTCTTACAGCTGTGGATCAATTGAAATTTTGCGTTTAAAATTTAATTTTCTATGGTGGAAGAACGTGAAATCGACACTCGTGCTCCATTTTTATTTGACCGTTTCAAAATAATGATAGGAGCGAAATTTGTTCCCATTTTTCCCTTCCGATAACAACTAAATGGATTGAAATTAAAACTGGATTCTTTTTTTCCTCCGATGTTTTTTTTTTTTTTTTTTTTTTTTTTTTTTTTTTTTTTTTTTTTTTT